TTCCTTTGATATTAGACCAGTAAATTTGGCTTGCTTATATGCTTATCGCTCAGAACTCGTTGAACTTCAATCTTTCGACCAACATGGTTTAGTTATTCAATCACCTCAACTTCATTTTAAGTTATTTGCTTAATTTTTCACTGCACTTTCGTCATCGAGCTCATCTCATTAACATATTAATGGTTAGGTAACCTTACTCATTTAATAAAAATTGCATTATACGATCGGAAAATTATACGGAATTAGCCAAAGGAATCCGCTACTACGATGGAATAACATAATCTTTTTAAGCTTTCTTCAGTTGAACCAATATAATGACTTTTACTTCAAAGGGGAAAAATCAACAAAGTATTAGGTCGTTATTATTTTTATCACTTTTTTTATTTCAATTAAGTTTAATTGGACTACGAAATAGTAGATGAACCCCGGTATTGAGTAATGCTGCTTATAAATGTATGAGGGTGTATGTTTTGGTAAGGCTGTTTCGATTAGGGCCCTACAACGTATGTTTTTAGTAAGCTTTAACATTGCGATAATATGTCTTAGAAAATTATGAACAAAATGCTCCGAACAATCTGTCACTCTCTTTTCATGCATTCTTTTCTACTGTTGCATATTTTAACCTTACTATATCCTCTTTTTTCTCCAAGGTCTGATCATGATTAAATAGAAATAATGCTCCATTGTCTTAGTTCTTCTGCCTTATCTTCAATGGCTTAACTTTTAAGCCTCGGATTACTAAAGCTTATGTTTTAACTAATCTTAAACTCTTTTCAAAATTGTTTTTATGACGCTTTCTAAAGTTAGCGATATTGCCCCGAGGAATACTAGAACGTCTAACGGAAAGTATGAGTTTGCTGTATCGAACTTTATCTACATCATATATATGAACTGAAAAAGGTCTGTATTTCATCTGATCGTCTGTGCTCAGAATTGGCAATCGAGTTTGAACCAAATAATTATGAGCTTCTTACAGGTAATGGCAATTCGTTAAAATGGGCATTCTTTAGGGAGATAACTTAAATAGGACATTATTTTCAATTTCCTCCGATAAATGTAAGTTTAGATTAGTTGGAATGCTGTTAATATTAATCAGTAAATTACGCATAGATAAAACAAAGAATACACATTTAGTGATAAAATTAGTTTTACTCAGGGAATTTTCAAGGACAAACCCTGAAACCCTTTTTAACAAATATGGCCCATCTACTATAGAGGAGGTACTTAACTATGATTAGAAAGGTAATTTACCATAGATTAGTGATCACCTTATTCATCATCATGATTCAGTAAAGCGACTGCATTCAAGGACATTTCATAGCCCATAAGTGTTGAAAAAATTGGTAATTCCAACATGAATAACGGGATTTTCACATTGTCGAAAACCATTCACTTAAGCTCGGCCACTCAAACCCTACCTATCAATTCAAATGCATCACTTGTCATCTCTATATCTGTCTTTGCATGCATAGCATTGTATTTATTCTAGAAGCATATTCGAAAGTTGTTTTTTAATGGGAAGAAGTGGCAGGTCAAAGTATGGAGAAGAGCCACCTAACTCAAATAAGAACAGGCTTTAAGAAGGATTTTTTGTCTATAAATCTTATTCATGATAAATATCCTTGTAATTGATGAATTGGCACTATGTGAAACTGAATGCTAATATTAGCCTAAGAGAAAGTCAATTAATCAATAAATTAAAATTACAGGACCAAAAGATTATATTAATGATGCTACTTTAAATTAGTTGTGGTGTGAACGGTGAGTTAGACACGAACGAAACATGCTTTCTGTGAAAGGTTTTTAGAAGGTCAAGGAAGTTTATTGCAATATAACTCCGAGTTCAGACTTCCAATTTGTGACTGATGTACCTCCATTTTACTCATACTCAAAAATATTACCCTTAATCTTGTCCATTTTGGTTATCTTTGCTCGTTCTAGAGGATAGAAGTACTGATTATTTAGCCTCACTTAGTCTTGTCTTTTAGAATGTAATCTCGTGTATATCTCTTCTGAGTCTCATTAGCATTCTAGACGGGATTCGAGGCCCGGTTATGCTCTTCAGGTGTCAACCTCCTACTATTTAGTCATACGGACCAAGTTTCAATAGATTGCAGGACAGATGTAACTTAAAAATCAAGCCAAGCCTCTCCAAATTCAAATTTGCAAAGTAACCCAAGTTCTTGTAAATTATCTATCGCTGGATATGGGAACCAAGATGATGTGACCTTAGGTTTGGCCGCATTCTTCTTTAGAAGTATAGCGTTGGTTTTACCTCGTTTTCACAGCCTCTTCGGAATGGCAGGGGGGCCTTGTTGAACGTACCTAGTTCCACGTCCTCTGTCATAGTATCAATGATGTGTAGCATCGGACCGTTGACCTGTTATATTCTCAGACGTTTCACCGGCATCCTAGTCGGCATAGTCAGTGAGAGGCGCCATCCCCAGCACAGAGTTACAACATATCAAAGTGACAAGTTTATATTCTTACTTGTTTGTCCGTTTGTGTGCATTTATTTTTCTATCATTAAGGTTAACAGAAGGAAGAATTCCGTTCTCACCAAATACAATTATGGTAGCACTATAAACAATAAGTACAATGTCGTTCCAATCGTAGCAGTTGTAACTCTCTGTTAAGGATCGCATTCTCATTAATGATGTCGGTGAAACTTCTGGGAATGTATTAAGTCCGATGCTTGAAATCATCATGAATGTGAACTATGAACTATGGCAGAGGACGTAGAACTAGGTAAGTTTCACAAAGTCTCCCTATCGTTCCGACCAAGTTGTGAAAATGAGATTAAACCTACATTATCTATCGCTAGTTTCAAAACCTTCTCAATGCCTATTGTAGCTTCGAAATCGTTGTTCATATAGAGATTAAACCGATGAGTTATAATTTTTTTTAGATTTTTTAATCTCATGATTCCTTATGATTCTTCAATTGCTCTCGTCTGCTCCAAATTTCATAAGATGTCAAGCTTTTGGCACATTTCGTTTTGCTCACCTTTTTTTACCATTCGCTACTACATTTTGGTGATTTCTTGATTTAAATAGGTATCCACCGGCGACTGAATGAAAAAAGTCGGCTCCGAGCTGGATTGAAGGCTACGTTCATTGCAGTAAGTCTTAGCTATTTTCTATTAAATACATCCTCAACTAAGCTTTTATCTACTCTTATCGTATCTTTTTCCGCTAACTTTCGTCAATTACTTTGTATGGATTACTTGTTACAACAACGGTCGTTATCTAATTGACCGATATCACTACTATTAAAGGTGAAGGCGAGTAAGGTTGTGTGAACGATACAGTATTAACGCATAATACGATCTTACTTGAGCATATCTAAATAAAGCATGAAACAATTTTATATAGTGTAGTCAACGAAGCGTACATAATTTAAATGCTAAGCTATATCGAACTTTGTGTTTACTTGCATTAACTCATTCTAAAATATTAAAAATCTCACCTGATCTCATTAGCGTAAGCTTTATTTTTCTGTATATTTATTTATTCATATATTTAAATGTGAGTCTGTATATTCGCGTTTGTAATCTTGTCTGTGCATTTATTTTCCTATCACTATGGTTAGCAGGGAGAATAATTTACTGCTCACCGAGTGCAGGTATTAACAACAAGTAGAATGTCGTTTCAATCGTAGATAAACGTCTTATCTCTGGGACAAGTCATAATCCTCCTCTTTAGATTTAAGCACACAACTGGAGAAAACTTTATGCGATATGCCGAACTATCTTGTACATCTCTGGATGGATCATATTTTTAGATATTTGTCTCCTGTGAATTAGTCTTTAAAAATGCTTGATGCGGCCTATCAAGTCTGAGCTACTGCATCACCTTGTTTTGAAAGGCGTGGAGCTTCGAAGATCAGGATTTCAGGACTATAATTTAACGAATTTTGCTTGATTAATTAAAAAAAGAGGTTATGTAGGTCATAATATGAAACATTTAGAGGCTTTTCGACGATATTTTGATCTTTAAGGCAACTATCTCTTTAAAGGTAAATGCTGGTCTATAAGACAATTTTGCATGCCAGTAATATATATGACCGAGCGATCTAGCGTATTAAAAGCGCAAAAAAATATGCTATAATTATTAATTTTATATTTATTTTAAGGCACAAATTAGTCGGTGAGATATTTTCTCAGCTACTTCTCAAACAAAAATCTTTTCCCTCCTATTTGGGCTAGTAAATATCTATAAACTAGTAGAAAACAGAGAAGCAATGCCATGACATCTTACTCATTCTCATCACTCATTAATACTGGCAGCGCTTAAGTAAACCACATAGCACTGCTTAAAGGACAATTACAGCTATTAAGTAGACCTTTTACACAAAGTGAAATTCAAAACCTTTATTAGATCATTATGAGAACTAGGGTTGCCATAGATTCATTTGGATCCCGGAATACCTGCTATTTGTTTTTTTTCATGTTAATTTGATTATAGGGCCTCATTGCCAAGGCAATGTCTCCCAAAAGTTTTTCTTGCCCGGACCCAGCAACCGAGTTTTTAGCATCTAATGCAACGTATTATTTGCAATAGGCCTGATCTGCTCTGTGTCCCACTTTCACTTAATCTGTCTGGCGGAGTCGTGACATGCACTACCACTTGGTCGGATTTGGAAACCCTCAGATTGTGCGATCCGGATGAAATCGAAACTGCCCTCAGTCCTGGGTGATTCAACTTTTCAGGAAGCTAAAATTCAATCTCTAGGCGTCGTGAGGCCTTATAATCATTTTATCATGGGAAAATCCTCTTTCAAGCATTCCGCCACCTAAAACCACTTGAGATCAGTAGCCTGTATAAAATATATTTTGTCCATCCTACTTTCGAGATGTTTTTACCTCAAATTTCTTGCGCGCATCGTTTCGAATTTTGCCTCTACTATTATTCTTAGGCCATTTACCAGTAAAGTTGCTACTTTTCTTTTATTTGTACTTCATAATTGATCTCTTTCGCTTTATTTTGTTTTTACAGTCTATGCAGTCCGACTGTGTTCGCAAAGTTTGTGTTAGTTTCCTAGCTATACTGGTCGTCACTCAGACAGCTGCTCATCTTGATCGGCTTCTTTCTCAGGAAGTTCTTGACTACATTGGCTACTATGACAATCTGGTGAGATCCTATAGATCATATCATTGCAAAATCCGTCCTTACATCTTCTTTATGCAACCGATTTATTTCATCACAGACAACATTTTAGGCAATATATCTCACATTCGCTCCAAATTTTGCTTACTAGGTTTATTTTCGAATCATTTGTATTCTTAGTCTTATTTTTTATGATAGCTTTTGGTATTTTTTTTCAAATTTACATCTTTTAATCGTCCAGGTGCTTCCTGTTCACTTGCATGCGCGCCTTGTAAACTTGCACGTAACAAGATCAGCTCAGCGTCTGTCGCAGCACGAGATCGCTGCCACTGAGGGGCAAACAAACCGCAGATATCGTGAGGCGCAGTACTTACTCTTTCACTGGACCAGTTGGCTAGATAGTCTAAATAGGGAGCAGTGCCGCTTACTGTTGGCCTACAAGGTATGGTAGCTTCCTATGTTCGATTTACGAATTATTTTTAGCTCACGCGCACTTCATGCGACTTCATTTCTCCTTAACCATTAATGATCTTATGCATTATTTATGAAATACCATGTAAGCTAGTTGGATAAGGCAGGAAGAGATAGATGATAGTAACTGGGGCTAACTAAATTACTGAGTGACGTACAAATGGAGATACAAAGAGTAACTATGTTTAGGTGAATCTCCTTAGATAACTGTATTAGGGAGACTTGCATTTCATGTAAAAGTGTATGAAGAAGATATTCGAAGATCGATCTCACCATAAGACGACGGCCGAATCCCGCTGTGCTGCAGCCGTTTGGCCTTAATACCACCTTTAGGTTGACACAGTCCATGAGACATCCTCCCTCGTTTCGAGAGAAAACGGGCTGAACATTCATTCATCAGATGATGGCCATCATCACAGCTGGAGTTTACTCTTGCAAAATTCTAAAGTTAATACTAGGTCAAGAAGACTATCCAACTCTATCTTACCTCTTATATTTTTATCATAACTCGTCGATTATTTATGTGTGTGTGCGGGCGTATGCTAACGTCTATATGCAATACCGGTCCTAAATCTGAGTGATAAAAAAACTTAATACCAGGCTCTGAACTACTAATTGTTGATTAAAATTGAAGGAGAGAGACGGTGATGAGCCGCCATCCACCTCATGGGTCGATTTGACGAATTGCCGTTGCTAGGGCGACAGCCTATCCCTGACAATGAGGACCAAATGTTTGGGAATGTGCCAAGTCTATTGGAAATTGGCATTATTTAGTTAGCACATAACTAGGTACATATTTCGAGATCTCCTTGTCAGTCTGATTAGTTTTCGAACACTCAGTTAAGCAAACTCTGTCGTTAATTGTGTCTTCTACAAATTTATCGTAATTGTTTATTTGTATAGTCTATATGGGACTATAAAATAAAATAAAAACTTATATTTCGTTTTGAGTAGGTTTTAGTGACTACCACTAAATGAAAGCTATGAGTTATGTTCACCCGTTCATCACCTTAAGTGAAATAAGATAGACATAACTCAGATCTGATTTGCTGGTAGTCACGAGAACCTACTCAAAGGGAAATATGGGTAATGCCGTCAAGTGCTATAGCAAATATATGTTTGCTTCATCGGCAATTCACCACAGAATGTAATATGAAAAAATGCCTGACCTTACTTGAAATTCACATCTGCCTTGTGAAGGCAATGTGGCGTAGTGGTCAACGTATCGAGATTACACGCTGTATTGTCCTAGTTCGAGTCCCACTGGGAGGTTGATAAGACCTAGGCGAGGTTGAAACTTTATTCCACTCTGGATGAGAACACCTTTTGGGAAAGCCATGTGAAATTTAATGGAAACGTCAGTTCTACTCATCTCATTGTGAGAAAGTTCTATTACTAGTCCTTCATCATCTTAAACGAAATAGGGTCAGCATAACTTATTAAATTAAACTGTTTTTAACCTGGCTCAGCCCTCGTGCTTTCCCGGTTATATTATTTGTATTCATACTCAGGCTGAAGCTCTTTCATCGTCTAAGTCTCTTTTCATAGCTTCATGCAATAATGCTATGATACTGGCATCTGGCCATCTCCCAACCGCCCCATGTCGGATCCTTTATTTTTACGCAGCCATAATTCCCACCGCAAACCTCCTATCTTACCTATTTTCTCAATCTCATATTTTTATTCCTCTCTACATTCATGTTCTTGCTATATGCCTGCTAGACCTTATGTCATTTAGTACCCCAAACTATATTCAAACTCATTTCATCCATCAATTTCATTCTTCCATTCCCCAGAATCTTAACCGCATTATCCTTTGATAGACTCTCTCTTTAACCTCATCTAATATGAACCGTCTATTTAATCCATCAAGCCTTTGACATTTATTTTTATTCCCACATCTCTCGCCTTTTCTTCACTCTGACGTAAAGTCTGCCGCTGAGGCAATTCGTTCCAATTTGACTCGCCGCAGCAGCATCGGTCTTTTTGCTACCAACGATCCTATTTCAGGTCCTAGTGACTCTATTTCTAGCAGTTATCAAGACCGTCCTGATCATAGTGAGACAGTTCGGCCTACGCTCACTTCCTACTCTCCTCTGAAGGCTACGGCGGTCTCTCGTCTCATGCTGCAAATGATGGAGCCACCGCCGAAAGTAACCCAAGATGCGACCATATTTTCGCCATCTGGACCTGGCGATAGGACATCCGGCTCTATAACTCTTCCTCATGAGGCATTTGTGCCCCGCCATTGTCGAGCTAGTCCAGCACAGCGTAACCGAGAACTGGCCAAACTTCGCCGACTCAATCCACCTACTTGTCCAATAGACGTTATCACGCCACGTCTCTTTAAGGAGTAAGCTATTAACATGTGGAGCCTGTCTGAGACATTTTTCTGTGGGCTCCTCATTTATGGAAGTCCATAAATTTCGTTTAAAAATTAAAGTATATAATAGCTTACAAATAAAGCCTACAAGTATCTAATTAGTGCTCACGTGCAATTTACAACACTTCCTTTTTTTAGATCAACCTTTATTCAAACTTGTTTGGTCCATGGAATCGAATATTCTTTGAACTAAATTGTTCATTGCTAATTATATTTGACATGTATACTAAAATCCTCCCGGTTAACTATATCCTATCGTGGTTTCTTGTGGTTCCACTGAGCTATTATTCTTGTACGATTTTAAATACATCTTAGATCCTGGGGGCAAGGGAAAAATTAATAAGGATTCAATGGAATTCCACTTCTAGTCTGGTGGCATGACCTAGCTGACACAGAGGAATAGAATCAAGTATCTTGTTAATCGTGGTTATGATGGTGATGCTTTTAATTAAAACAAACGATCATAATTTACGTATTCAGAAAAAAACACTTTACGCGACTTCCTGATTTTCTTTTCCTTTTTATTTTCAATCTGCTCCCTATCAATCCCATTTTGCTTGTCCAAGGATTCTAGTAACTGCTGTTTTTTCCACCGATAATCTTTTTATAGCTACTGTTAGTAGCTTGTCGCGAAAAAAATAATTTTATTTATTCCCCATCTTGAAGATTATCTCTTTTTGTTCTACCTTCAGAATTGATCTGCTAAAAATACAATACGAGAATTCATTTAAGATAAA